GTGTGTATGTGTATGTGTGTACGTATGTGTGCATATCTACGCATATAGTTCCTAGCTATAAGACCTAATGTGACGCCATACATTGTCGAATATATTGTGTATGTATAGTAAGGGTAGCAGGAAATTCATGCAACCCCGGCGCTGCTGTTCGCAGGTGAACGGATCCCGGCTGGTCCAGATCCGCGTTTTTCCCGCCAATCGCAACACCACGCTCAACCGAATGTGCGCTGCTCGATCAGGGGACAGGGGGGAGTGCTTGCCAAACTGCGAGAATGTGTGAGGCTAGGATGTCTGAAATGATTTGTTAGGTTTGTTACTTTCTGCTGGTTCTCCCTTGCTCTAAAGTCTGAAAAGGGGAGGCTGGGGCTCCCTCTGCTCGCAGGTATCACATTCATGCCTTCCGGCAGCCCTGTCCTCCCCAGAGGCTGGTCCGTGTGCTTTGCCAAATCCTCGCAGCAGCGACGGCTTTGCAGTGCCGTTTGTTATCATACTGTGTCATGATATCAACGAGGAGGAAGTTGATCATTCATGCTCACAGGTTTCTCCATCTTGCTTTGTCGGCGGACTTCGCATGCAGGCCCTTCTACGCCCCCGATGTTCGACTCTGTGCCATGACCTGCAACGACGGGTGCCCAGCAGCGCAGCGAGGTGCAGCGAGGCACCATTTATGCTGATTTGTTGAGCATGTGAGTCGGGGTGCGCAGGTACTTTCCACGGCATGCGTCTTCGCGGTGCGAAGCTTGTGCAGGTCTTATAGAAGCCTTTGCAAGCGGTGCGGTAGCATGGATCTGGGGTCTATCAGAGGTCCTCGGAAACAGCGAGCTCACGGCAAGGTCCCGAACACTGCGCGCGCTGCTCCAGCTACGAGCGGTGCGAGGCATCCGCATTGGAAGGGCTGATACTGTAGGCCGTTCCATGGAAGACGCTATCATAAGTTGCTATTGCTGCGGCGAGACGACGGCGATGACGGTGGCAACCAGCATCTCTGGTGCTGCTGCTCCTCGTCTTCCTACTCCTTCGCCTCCTCCTCCTCCTCCTNNNCTCCTACTCCTACTGCTACTGCAACTGCTACTGCAACTGCTGATGCTGCTCTTGCTACCTCTTGCTACAACCACCACCTCCTTGGCTGTTGAATGTTGTTCAGCGTAGAGCGGACCCTGGTCATATGCACAGAGCACGGCAGACGATCTCCGCCCGTGTGCCACAACCCAAGCAGAAGCACACGCAGTTATTGGATGCCCCAGTGTACCTACCAGTCGTGTAAACTACAGTAGTTGACAACATGCAACTATAGGAATCAGTATCACCAATGAAACCCTGACAGGTGTGCAAACCCTCCCAGTGGCAGACGCTGCACTTCTTGCAGCATGTCGGCGGTCAGTGCCATGTGCTCGACGCTCAAACATAGCAGTTTTCATCTAAACGGCCACGAACAGGTTAAGCTGTAGCAGCGTTTGGGATAGTCTCGGTTCCTCTTCGGATCAGCCAGATGTCCACCTGGCCTTTCGATCGATTTCGGCTCCAATGTACCGTATCTTGTCCCCGAGGCTTCGGATACATCTCCACGAGCTAGGGATAGGCGCGGGCCTTGGCGCGTCGTGACCAGAGCCTTGTCAATGTAAGGGTGAGAGCGCGACGTAGTGGTGAACTGCACACTGGTTGGAGTGAAGATGTGCAGTATGTGTTTGCCTATGTATTTGTATATATATATATATAGAGAGAGAGAGAGAGAGGGAGAGAGAACATTCATGTTTAAGCGGGTGCTGTCAGCCGGCGTGCACTTTTGGGTCAACTTGCGGCACTGGGAGCACGAGCCGGAGCCAGCTTAACGGCTTCAGTTACCCGTGCAACAGGGCATAATTTGTCTGATCCATACAATCCTCTAGATTTTGGGCTTTATGCCGACATCCGGCTGGTCCGGCTTGAATACCTGCGAAGCCTTGGGAAACATGAATACTTGCCTATACTAGTTTGGGGGTTCCCTATTTATTAAAATGTATTATAGTATAATCCTCGACACTTTCGGAGCATCTCTGGTAATATAGGGACCTGAAGAATTACCTATGCTATTATGGGGCTTCCTTATTATAATTATATAGTACAATGGGCTCCAAAACCCTAGTCTAATTATTAAGGCCCCTACATTACTGATAGGCCGCTTTTACCTTCACTTGGAATCCGGGCGCTGGAATCCAAAGAAAGGAAAACCACAAGCAGACACCTGAGCTGGAGAGACCTCTCAACACCCCAGCACGCGATGTCCATATCATTCCCAGAGTCTCCACCTGAAATTTTGGACACACGCATCTTGAACGAGCTCTGGATTAGTTGGCCTGGGAAAGCACTCATGGGTTATATAGAGTTACATGGTAATCGGGTATCTGTAGTACTAGTATTCGGCGGTGATGAACCACAGACAAGCGTGACCAGTGCTAAGGCAGACCTTGCATCCACCGTTATTCCTGTTGCTATGAAAAGCCTGTCAGATTCGGTGTGACTGAGTGACTACCACTGGCGACCTCATGACGTTTTCTGTTTTGATTGGCTGATACTGGCTGTGAGTTGAGGTTGTGTAGTGCACGGCAGCAGTACAGAAGTTGAACCTATATACACATGCAGTCAGATTGTAATTGGAGCCGCGAGGCGCCTGATCATGATCTACACCTGCATGCTCAGGTGTTGTCGTAGCCGTGGCGGTCTTCGTCCTCTGCACCTGCTTCTGCTTTGCGTGTTGTCCAGCACCCAGCATGAGTCTGCGAGAGGGTGGACAGCAGCAAGATAAAGCTGGTACAATCACACCATACCGAGAACAGGATACCGAAGTTCAAAAACCAGCACCAGCGTTTTAGAGCACTAGCACACGAAGTCTTGGCGCTGTCGTTGCTGAAGCAAGGCCATGGCAGCAGCCGCGGGCAACTCGGAATTCCGCCCAGGGACTGGACTCTGAAGGCTAGCAGGAAAGCAGTAAGTTGTCAGGGTGACTTCTTCTACTGCGACACTGAGAATTAGCGAGGACTGCTACAATCACACTAAGACTATGGAGCATGGACCTCATCTGGTGTCCCAAGAATGTGGTTGCATGACAGTGACGGTGCCTTGACAAGCTAAATCTAGCGCAAGCCTCGGCAAGACTGTGACTAACTTCAACCAGTGGCCACACTTACGATGCCGACGTTGTCAGCGCTTAGTGCAATGGCTGTAGGAGCAGAAAGCAGCAGGTATGACCTGCAAAATGATAACCCCCGCACCCAGAATCGTTGAACATTGTTGCTGCAGAGGAGCGTTTCACGACCTGCAGTTTGCCGGTTCCAAGGTCCCCTGTTCACTCCAGCCTTTTCCCTCCAAATCTCGGAAGAAGGCCAATAACAAACTTTTAGCCTTTTTGAAAAAGCCACGCCCACAAAGGCACCGAAAAGCCTCAACCCTAAACTACTAGCCTCAGGCAGGTGGAAAAGAGGCGACCCAAAAACAAAAAAACTACTAACCCCCAACCCCAAAACCCGAAACCCCTCAACCCTAGACCCCTAATCCCTAAACCCCTAAACCCCTGAACCCCTTATAATCCCTAAACCCCAAAACCCGAAACCCCTCAACCTCGAGCCCCTAACGCCTCAAAGTTCCCCCCCCCCCCCACTTTTTTCCTGAGGCCGGCCGAGAGGAAGGCGGCCCGGGCGAAAGGACCCTCTGTTGGGTTCGTAAGGTTTAGGGTTTAGGGTTTAGGGTTTAGGGTTTAGGGTTTAGGGTTTAGGTTTAGTATTTTGGGGTGTTGGGATGGGGGTTTCGGGTTCAGGATTACGGTTTTGGGGTCCTGGGGTCTTGGGTTTGGGTTTTAGGGGGTTTAAGGCTTTTGAGTTGAGCTTCTGAGGCTCTTCGAGAGTTGTTTCTGCAAAGCTTAAGGCTTTGGTGATGCGTGTCCTTACAGGAAGAAGCTACCCCTATAGTAGCCCCCCTCTTTTGGCCCTATAACCTTCACTTCAAGCCGCGCTAGGCCCCGATCGGTTCTTTAGGAGAAGCTCTTCGACGATGAGGAGCTCGAGCAGAGCTGGGGCCCAGGAGCTGAAAAAGGTACCAGAGATGCTCCGACGATGCTCGGATTTGCTGCTAGTGGGCTAGGGCTCATGATGGCAATGATGCTGGGGTGTGCAGATGGTTACTGAACTCGAATCCGTTTCGCTGTTGCCGGGCGGTCGTCCTCATGCGCGCTCTTCCTCGTCGTCATGGTCCCCTAGGCCCTAAGCCCTCATGTGCAAGCCCATTAGGCCATGAGCCCATCCATCCCAAGAACTGAACCCTGAGCCGCAAGGAGTATGAACACAAGAGCACAGATTCAGGCCATGGGTTCTATCGTTACCCCGGACTTTCAGGTACCCGCCTCCTGGGGGTGAACCGCCACGGCCCGCAGCTCAGCTCCTCAAAGACTTTTTCCCTGAATATCCGGATTTCAATACATTACGTAAACCGTAGTATACTGGCCACGATAGAATTTCGATAAGAAGATTGTACGTGAAGCATGAATGTGTTGGCTACAAAAACCTATCAGTAGTGTAATGTAGCAGAGGCTGGTGTGCTGTGGAAGGGTATGCTCGAGTATGGTATGACATGACAGTGCCACATGCTGAACCCAATCCAATGTGGAGCATCCAACTACTCATACTTGCAAGTGAGGCTCTTCCGACGACGAGTGAGTCAGAGCTGGAGCCATTGGATCAGACTCCCTCCGGCAGGGGAATGCTAATGACCACTCCTTCTGTTTTTCTCTCTCTCTGCAGCTTCTCGGGTTTCGGCTGGTCTTTCAGATGGAGCTTGGATGGTACATCAGTTGGGGAGAGGAACAGAGGGACGATGCAAATGTTCTCCTGCCCAGACCTGCATGGCCGACATGTGACTCGTTGGAAAGTAGACTTGGGTGCCAGGGGTCCAGGCAGCTGTGGGCAGTGCCTTGCCCAGCCAAGTCTTTTAATCATGGTCTGTGTTGCCCAAAGAACGGCCACCCTGCACGGACCATGTGAGCAAATGCGAGAATAGAAAGGCAGCTGGCGCTCTCTACAGAACCCCTCGCCGCGAACCTGCTCCTCTTGCTGACGCGAACTCTGGTACTCGTCGCTAACTTTCCGTCAGCATTCTTTTGATATAGCTTCGATGTCTTGCACGGAGTGTAGCATCAAGATCTCGTAGATGTCGCAGGCTCTGCTGACCCGTGTCAAACAAACCTTAGCTTGTCCATGCAACTCCTTCGAACGATCAGCTGGGCAGACGTCCAAGATGCACTTTTCAACGAACCCGCCTCGCAGATGGCTCGCATAGAAAGGCATGATGTTCAAATCGAGCCACCATGGTGCAGCCAGCCCCTCTAGTCCCAGAAGCTTTAGTTGTCATTGTTGCAGCAGACACTGGCACGAATTCTTTAATTAATTACCCCCGGACCTCGTAGGATTCAGATGGCACTCCAACCCTCAACCTAAGCATCGAGAGTAGTGGTTGGTGCCCTGGCCATGCATAGCTGCTGATCCTGATTCCAGGCATGCGATGAATTAAGGAAGGCGAAGGATGCCAAGATGCGCATCACGAGGATCTGCAGAGCCCGGATGCGGTCCCTGTTAAGCAGATGCAAAGCGAGTCGTGCTGTGCTCCTGCAGGTCAGATGTCGTCGTGGCAGGCAGCGCAAGTCTTGAAAATGTTGGGTCGCGGCTACTCTTGGCTGTAGCATGACGTTATTACTACTCTTGGTTATAGCAGGGTATCAAGTTCCACCTAGCGCGTGGA